CGCATGGAGGAACAGCTATCTCTTGGAGATCGATAAAGCAGACAATCACTACCACTTCATCAATCCATGCAGAACTTTTGGCCATTCACGAAGCCAGCAGAGAATGTGTTTGGCTACGATCCATGACTCAGCACATCCGATCAGATTGTGGTATGAAAGAAGATAAGGAGCCCACGGTTATGTTTGAAGACAACGCGGCTTGCATTGCTCAACTATATTCCCATTAGAACTGTCAAAGCGAGTTGATTCGTCCCGTTAAGTCTATTTTGCGATAGACAAAAAATATTTTGTCTTGTAGTTAGTCGGTCCGCACGACCCGCGGGCATATATGAAATACAAACACGTCCCGCGAATATATGCGGATTTGCGGGATTGTCCATGGATTTTGTTTAAATAATTTTAAAGTAACCAAAATTTAAAATATTACTAAAATAAATAAATAAATCAAAATACTATTAAAAGTTTGTTTAAATTACCACATATTGAATAAATTATAATTTTATCAATAAATACTAATATGCGGGCTGATCCGCCAACCCGCGGATGAAAACCGATTATACCTATGACCCACTGCGAATTAATCCATGTGGCCCGCTTATTTGCGGGTTTAATATATTTTCCCAAATCTGCCCCATAGTGAGATGATGTGGGCTGGACCCGCGGTTTTTGACATATTTTGACTGCTCTAATTCTCATGAATCGTCTAATTTTAGAATTTTAAAACACAAAATTCTATTTTGTAAATCATAATTATTACAATGGGTATATTTATAAACAATTTTAAATTTTCTCTACAATTCGTTATTATGAATATTTATAAGTATACTACACGATTCGGTCTACTAAAAAACACACACAATATTAAACGCAACATATGTAAACCAATATTCTCCCGCGGTGGACCGCGGGTCCGATCCTAGTGTTATGTTGTGTTTTTAAACTATCTTATTATAGTAACATGTACAATTTTTTCATAAAAAGTAGCCAAAATTTTCATTAAGTTTTCAAATTCTGAATATGCACCATTTTCATTTCCATAGTCGACATGCTGTTTAATTACAAGAACTGAGGTCGATAATCACAAATTTAAATTTATGTATACCATTTGTATAGGTCAATTCATCTATAGTACTTGATATTTATTGTCAAAAGAAATTGTTTTTGTCTAAATATCAAATGTTCAAGTGCTAAACTACATAATTTGTAGCATCCAAAACATTAATTTTAGTTAGATCATATTGTTTTAGCTCATATGTTTCTAAAGCATTAATAACTAAAACTAAACTCTACATAAATTAATAAATGTTAGTTTATACTATAGTTGAGTAAATATATATAGTATCAATCAAATATCATGATTCTAACATTATTAATTTATAGAGGTTTTACTGGATAATATCAAATACAAATATAATATTAAAAATATTAAATTTTGATAAACATATATAAAAACCGCTTTAGTGCGGGTATTCTTCTAATCTAAAAGAATTGTATTGTAATATACATGTTTTGTCCTAAACGATACATATTTCAAATAATATAAAACTCAGTTTTTGGTCTCTTTTAATCTCCTTTATTAGGAATTTTATAGATATATTTAGACCAAAGACCGTTTTGGACATATATAATATCTGTTCAATATTAAAATTCCTTTACATGTGAAGATTAATAATTATGTGTATAAAAATAGGTTTGAATGTGTAACGATGGGAGATAAATATTGGAAGAAAAAATCTCATACAATCTATAAAGACAAAATAAAAATTAAAAAATTAAAAGTTTTGATTATTTACAGAGTTCTTTACTTTCCATTCAACATCCCATAACTCTTTCGACTTTAACCATATCATTGATGTTGGCGTAATCAAGTTAATCTCTTTAATAAGGGAGAAAAACTTTTTGAGAAGATTTATTTGAATTAACCCCGTTAGAACGTATTCAAAATAATGGGAGAGTTGGAAATGATTTAGTAAACAAAATATGTGATTATAGTAAGATAATCCGAAGATTTGTTTGGATGTTGAGGTGAAAATAAAAATCTAACTCACAGTTCTTATTTTAATATAATTTTATAGATATATTTAGACCAAATACCATTTTAGTCATATATAATACCTCTTCAGTATTACAATTTCCTAATATGTGAAGATTAATAATTATGTGTATAAATTAGTTTTGAATGTGTAACGATGGAAGATAAATATTGGGAGAAAAAATCTCATACAATCTATAAAGACAAAATAATAATAAAAAAAATTAAAAGTTTTGATTATTTACAGAGTTCTTTACTTTCCATTCAACATCCCACAACTCTTAGGACTTTGTCCATATCATTGTAGTTGGCGTAATCAAGTTAATCTCTTTAATAAGGGAGAAAAACTTCTTGACATGATTTATTTAAATTTAACCCGTTAGAACGTATTCAAAATAATTGGAGCTAGAGTCTCCATTATCATGAATGTATTCGCACATGTAAAGCAGATGAATTTTGAGAGAACAATTCTATTCAAAAACTGTTCCGAACCTGATAAAAAAGCGATATACATTGCTAATACGGTAAATAGCACAACTCGGTCGTACCAAACGTTTAGTTATGATGTTGATTAACTTATAGATGGAGAGATGGAGATTAGGGTGTATGAGTCCTCTAATCTTTAGAATGGACTCAAACTGTTTTATTATCAATATTGTCCAACACACATCTATTAGTTGTAGAATGCAACAAACAAGTATTGGAGGATAAGTATTCCTTAATTCAGGAAGAAGTCCTAGATTCACAAAAACATTAAAAACAGAAAGGTAAAATCAAAAGATGAAGTGAAATGAAAAAAGATGGAAAAACATAGCATCCAAATCACAACTAAACAAAAAGGATTTGCACAGTACCATTATCTTATTAATTTCTAAGGCAAATGTTACTTTGCTACTACCACGAAAAGCAAGCCAAGTTAAATTATAACATAAGCATTGTTATTTTATTACTGTCACGAAAAGTAAAACCAAGTTAACGTATAATATAACTAAAATCCAAATCAACTTAACCTCCCAAAAACAAAATTAGATCAATTACCAAAAAAAAAAAAATATCTAAATCAACTTAAAGTTATATACTCGGATTATATCTAATAAACCAAACACAAAGATTATGCAATGTTTGGATAGTAAAGCAGATTTCTGTGTCATTAATGAAAAACATAATATCTAAATCATATTTACAAGTCCGTCAAATTTAGGAGTAAAAATCCAAGATGAGATCTATAATAAAAAAAAGGTTTTCAAAGGTGAGGATGAGGATGCGCCCCTATGCTGAGGTGAAGATGTCTCACAGTTGGATCTACTTCACCTAGAGAAGATTATTTGGTAGCACTCTTATCACAAGAGTCACTTTTAAAAGTTTTGTGTTTTTGTTTGGTTATTCTTAGAAGTGAAACCACAGTTTTCTTGGCTTTAAAAAAAAAATGAAAAATAAGTGTTTTATTATTATTTATAAATCGAAACTCACTTTAAGCTTGTGGTTGATTAATCTCTTTTCATAGTCGTTAATTCTGTAGAAATCAAACTAGATCTAAATCAGTAAACAAAGCGGAAAAATTAAATAAAAAAACGCTAGAGAAACCTAGAAGAGAGAATATTTTCAAAGCTCTAAATAAACAACAAAATCTAGAGATCAAAATGCACAACAACTAGAAGAATTTGAGTCAAAAACTAAAATATTCATAAAAGAAATATCCCTTTTAATCCCCCATCAATCTCTCAAGTAATTAAAATATAGGAATCAAATGATGGGTAATAAAAGCAAATTAAACCAGGTCCTTTTTTTTTTTTTTTTTCTTTTGTTGCTAAAAGTAAAAAACGTTACAAGTCTCTATAATGTGTGTTTATGGATATATCTATGTGTTTGTTGGATGCAATTGTTGTCATCATAATTAACCTTGCTTAAAAAAAAGTTTATTTTTGTTTTCTAAAAACAAATTGTTTGATTTTTGGTGAGTTTTCACGGAGGAATAAGTAGATAGTATATGTAAAACTTAGCAAATAAATTGAAATTAAAAAAATGGAACAAAAAAGTTGTTTTTGCAATAACTAAGAAATATTTATGCAAAACTTAACAAAAGACTCAAACCACTTTTAGATCCATTTTGGTTCAATTTTTTTTTTTTTTTTGTGTTTTGGGTTTTGCCTTTTTCAGATCTCGATTGAAGATGACAATTTTATCCCGATCTGCTTTAATTTCATTCAAGCAAATATTTAAATGTTTAATATATATTTTGAATACTAACGCTTTGGTGCATTTGATCTGTCCTCAACTCTTGGGATTCGTATTTGATCTTTCTTCAACTTTTGGGATTCATTTCTCCAGTCGGATTACCTGGTAAAAATATCTATTCTACTTTTTATTAATTTGATTGTTATTCAAGATTTAATTGAAATTTTGAATTTTGTTTCTTCTTTCTTGAGCCTCTTTTCTCATAGCAGTTAAAGAGTGTTCATCGCTTGGCTACATAGGCAGATCAGAAAAATTGTAAGTCGTTTTACTTTGTTTTGGTGTTGATTATGATGTGTCTCATGTTATGCCTCATAGAAGCTAGTCATTTTTATGTATTGGTGATGATTATGATGTCTTATTTACTGTTTTCATTTTTGTTGTTACGAATATTGAATACAAATAAGGATCTATCCGAAATGGTCATTGGTCACTTATTTTTTATTTTTTTAGAATTATTAAAAGATTTTAAAAATGTTTACATATATTCAAATCATGTGAAACAAATTGAATTTAGTATCTACATAAATCTTGAAAAATAAAATTTTATAATATAATTGATACGAATTCCAAGAGATAATATCTGAAATGGTGATACCTTTTTTTTTTTCTTTTTTTTTGGTAAAACTTGAAATGTATTTGTCCGATATTATGCTTAATTAGTTTTATGCAGAAATCGATATCCTCCGTGAAACAATGGCTGGAAAGCCACTTTCGGGGGAAAAAAAGGCTGGAATGCCACCCTCTAATTTTTAATTTCATTTAACATTTTTTTCTAAATCAAAAGCTAAGGAAATGTCCAAAAACCCTTTCAAAAGATCAACAATTACAAAATCCTACCTCAAATTTACTATTTCTACAACCAAACACTCCCATCGATCTCCAATTATTCCCTCAAAAAAACATCACAACCATGTCTACTTCTCTCCGCACAACCACCGCTGCTTCTCGTCTCAGTCGTCTCCTCCGCTCCTCCTCCTCTTCCATATCCACACTCGCTCTCTCCGCTTCCTTTCTCTATTTTGCCGGATCTATCGTCTCTTCTCCACTTCTTTATTATTCATCCTCTCTCACATATGCCTCACTCCCTCTTCTAAATCTTTACCGGAGAGCCGTCACGTTTCTCCTAAGGGATCTCCATTCAAAATTGGGATTCCCAAGTTTGCGATCGTATCCGATGATAATAAGTTCACTCAGTTTTCGCCTCTTATTCTACGATCACCCCACATCCTCCTCAGTTTCCGCCGTCGCGACATCAGAAGACTGCTCTCACTTCTACTGCAACGATTGTGTCTCGAAATATATAGCTGCAAAATTACAAGACAACATCCTCTCAATCGAGTGTCTTGTCTCTGGTTGCGAGAGCTCTGGTCGGCTCGAGCCAGATAAGTGTCGTCAAATCTTGCCAAGAGAGGTTTTTGATCAGTGGGGTGATGCTCTTTCTGAAGCAGTATTGATGCGTTCAAAGAGATTATATTGTCCTTATAAGGATTGCTCTGCTTTGCTTTTCATTGACGAGAGTGAAGTGAAGATGAAAGATTCGGAGTGTTCTCATTGCCATAGAATGGTGTGTGTAGAGTGTGGGACTAAGTGGCATCCGGAGATAACTTGCGAGGAGTTTCAGAAGCTAGCAGAAAACGAAAGAGGAAGAGATGATATTTTGCTCGCGACGATGGCAAAGAAAAAGAAATGGAAAAGATGTTATTCTTGCAAACTTTATATTGAGAAGTCTCAGGGTTGCTTATACATGAAGTGCAGGTATATGTATATTCTTCTTCTTCTTATCGCCTGTGATGCAAATTTGTGAAACAATGGTTTTTTTTTTAATAATTTGTTTAACACATTTTGCGTTTTGCTACAATAATGGAACTCCGTCGAGGGACCATTCTCATTCTTGTAACTATTGTAAGCGTTGATTTAGCATTAGTATTTCTTATTATAGGTCTCTAAAGGTAAAGCCTAAAGCTAAAGATTAAGCTTTATGGATATGGATTTCTATTTGGTCTTGATGCTTTGTGCCTATTTTCTCTTCTTTTAAACTATCTTGATAGTTGTACTGAAGAGATTGTGACTAAAAATGATTCAATTTGCCTTCAGACTTCAAGGGTTTTGCGTTACTTTGACATTGTTTTGATCTAGAGGATAAAATGAACAAGTTTCAATTTCTTGACTTCGAAAGTAAAATGAACAAGTTTTGGGTTTTCAAAAAATCAGATTGGTAATTATTTGTGTATTTTGTCCTTGTTTATTTGTATAGGCACTTCCATATATTCGTTGTATAGGGGAATCTTAGCCAATAACGAAAGCAAGAGCTTACTTTGAAGCAACAACTTTGAGAAAGTATGAAAATTTATCTACTTTGGAGGTATAATGAGCAGAAGATTAATAGTTGCAACAGAGACTGAAAGATTGCGGATTTGAACAATAGAATCATATGGTGAAAGTGAAGTTTTATGTACAACTAGATCACTTAGGTACAACTGAGACAATTTTGGTATAAGTTGAACTACTTGTGCAACTGCACTATTTGATTGTTCGGATAGTTTTTTTTTGTTTTTGGTGCAACTGATAAATTTGGATATACCAACATGTAAAAAAATTGGACCTTTTGTTTGTGTATGGTAAAGATGAAAAAAGTAAAAAAAGTACAATATTTAGATTATATTTATGTTCAGTTGGTTTTCTAGGTACAACTAGTCTATTTAGGTACAACTATGTGTATGAGTTACTTATAAGAAAGTACAACTAGATCACTTAGGTACAACTGAGACAATTAAAAATAACCTTTAAAAAAAAAAATTAACTAAAATAAATTTTTTTCTAAAAAAAAAAAAAATTAAATATGATCCACGTAAGCATAATTTTGGCGGCGGGATATTAATTTTAAATCGTCACACGTGTGGTTAAGTGGACCAAAGACAGCATGATATTAATAAAAAATTGTTTTATTTTAAACATAGTTGTACCTAGTTGTCCAGTTGTACTCTCATATTCATAGTTGGACTTTAGCGATTTTTGTGTATTTCCAGTTGGACTTTATTAAAAATTAGTAATTTCCAGTTGGACACATGATGTTACACTTTTAATTATCATTTAGGAGGTTTTCATAATACAATGTTCATAAAAACTTGATTTTCACCTCTTTTGCTTCATATGCAGTGATCACTTACTAAGTCTTCCTTATATTGGAAGAAGTGTGTTATGTGAAAATATTTTTTTTGTTTTACAAAATTGATAAATTATGGTTGTATTGATTTTAAATAATCTATTTATATTTGAAAATGTTTTTAGGGAATTCTTATATAACTATTAATTTATAACTTGTTATAATTTAATAAAATTCATAATACAATGAACTTAGTTGAACTAATAGTATATATTTGGAAAATGATAAATTCGAGTTTTATTTATTTAAAATTGTTTGTTTATAGTTCAAAATGTTTTTGGAATCGATATAAACTCCAGTTTATCGTTTTCATATTTGTTGTATAGAACTACGTATATATTTATGGTCTTAGTTGTACTTAGTCGAACCTAGTTGTACAAATACGACGAATTCAAATACAGATATGTTCTTAGTTGTACCTAGTCGAACCTAGTTTTATAAATTTGACAAATACTAATACATGTTTTATTTTCCAAATCATTGAATAACTTTGCATGTAAAACATATAGATCTGTAAGTAAAAATGGTTATCAATAATATCATATATTTACTTTGAAATTAAAATAACCAAAGTACAACGTTGTTAGCAACTAGAACATCTACTTTAGCCGGAGTCTTGCCTTTCTTTGATCTTTTTTTCTTCTTAGGCTTCTCAGATTTAGCCTCCTCATCACCATCTTTTTCCTTGGTTCCCATCTCAGTTTCTACACAAAAATTCAGCAATTATGAATCAATAGATACGTCCCGTACATTATAGATGAGAAAAAACAAGAATCTGAAATAATTACCGTTTTCAATTGATTCACAAAGCATTAACAAGATCTATGATGCCTTCGTTCTCAGCATCATTAGTAGTTTGGTTTATTTTGGTTAGAAGATTATTTACAACAATTAAAGCTAATCAAGGCTTACTAGTGTGTAACATTTAGAACTGATGATAAGAATCAGTAACTTCAACCATATACAAAAAAAAACAAAACAAAAGTTTACCTTTCTCAAGATCCTTCTCTTGGTCATCAATCATGATTCATGGCTAAATCTTCATTTCCTACCTCCTTTTGAAGGTCTATTCAACAAAGAAACTACAGTTCTATAACACCCTAAGATCAAGGATCACATAATTCAACAATTGTTATAAACTACAGTTTACCTTGTTCCATTGTCCCCATAAGATCAAGACTGGCCTCAACATCAATGGAATGACCATCTACAGGCTCATCTTGGTATGCATCACAAATTTGCTAGTTCTCTCCCATTCTAGTGCCACTTCCATCGCTGTTATCATTGTCTTAAGAAAAAACAGATACAACAATAAAAGGGTAAACTAATCAACTTATATTCCCCAATAACTTCAAACTAATCAACTAGTATGAATTTTGAGGTAGAATTTGCCATAAGAACTCATGATTACGGAATTGACAGTTCTCGTTCCCAACATCGAATCCCACTACACTCATCTAAGCGTATCAACAAGAGATCTTAGATAATAAAATTCTTGCTTTTCGAAGAGAAATCAAATCAAACGAGAAAAAGGACAAAGGATGAAGAAAACTATACAATTATTAGAAACTTCGAATCGTCGATGCAGAACCTCTGATAACTGAGAGAGCGTCTTTGTCGTCGGAGCGTGGTTGTCGTTGATATCCATGGCGGAAGATTGAGAAACTAAGAAAGAATCTCTTAGTTTCATCAATGGCGGAGGAGAGAGGAGAACAAACCGATTGCAAGAACGAGATACTGGAGACGGCGGGCGGCGAGATCGGCGGGGTGAACTGCGGTTTGGGAGGAGAGAATCGGAGGTGAGGATGTGAGCAATTTTTTTTTTGCTTTTTTGTTTTTTTTTTTCGTTTAGTTTTCTAAAATTTAATTAAATAAAAAATATTTATCAAGGACAAAATAGAAATAACACTTACTAGAGTGGCATACAGACTATTGTGTTTTTCGTTGAACACTTACAGATTTAATTATATTTAACCTTTATCACCCGAAATCAACCCTCATTAAGGGTAATTTTGTTTTTCTACCATTGAAGAGTATTTGAGACAAAATTTGAAGCTTGAGGAGCCCCTGAAAATTTGTTCCTCTAAAAGGACAGGCGTGATTACAGTTTCCGGTTCAGTGGCAAACTAGCCTCTGTCGCATCCTCCGTCTGGTAACACATTTCACTCTATAACTAAACAAGGCCTTTTTTAAAAATGGGGCTTGTTTGTTTATACGGATATTCTCATATCTTTTTTGGTAACAAGTTTAACTCTACAACCAAACAACATCTCTAAGGCCTTATCTCACACATAAACCAACACACACACGAAGAACTCAGGATTTGTCTAAAGACAACAATGGCGAAGAAGAAAGAACTGTTATCAAAAGCACCATGGAGAGGCGACGACGATGATGAATCTGATAAGTTTAGCAACGCAAAGCTTAAAGTCACAAAGGATTCTGATGGTATGTCGAAGATGCACGTTCCTAGTCGTGGAACCAAAAAGGGAAGTCTCGCTGATGATGATGATGATGATTCACTTGAGATTGATCCTCAGCTTCGTTACAGTTTCAATCGCAACTATCAGGTCTCTTAAACCCTCTCTCTTGGTTCGGTAATTCTAGGTTTCGTATAGTGAATTTGCTCCTCTCTGCTCTGCTCACATCTTTAGATTAATGGGTATTGGAGATATGAGAAAAAGGTTTAACCTTTATGTTTCTGGGTCTAAGATTAATAACAATCAATCAATCTAAGCGTCACTGTGACACTGTCTAGTATTGAAACCTTGTGTTAAGCTTGAGAAGAAGTAAATTTAGGTGCAAAGAATGGAATTTTAGCTCTCTTTGTTACATAAAGTTTCGATTTTTAACACATTGTATCGAATTCAAGTTTCAGAATTTTCTGCAATGGTTGACACACTTGGTGTCTCTACATTCACATTTGAAATTTTGACCTTTTTGAACGTGGATAGAATCTCATATAGATGATTCACATTTTTTGAAGAACTATACGCTAACCGTAAGACTGGTTTAAAGGGATCTTTGTATTTTCACTTGCGTTGGTTTCGTTATCGGGTGGTATACTTTCGTAGAAAACATATGTGTAGTTTGATGTAGACCTACTTACCTTTGGTGAAAGATCGAAAATTTTCAACAAAAGTATCTTTATTAGTTCTGGAAATCCAATGAAGAGTTGGTTAGTCAGTTTTGTGAATTCCTCTCTACTTGTTGTTCAAGGTCACATCGCCGATAGACTACTTAGTACTTAGTAAGTTAGTATCTTGGTTAAGGAGATACTTTTTTGCTTCTTCTATTCAAATTGTTTTTTTTTCCATTCCTATATTGCCTCTGCTTTGTTTTATAAATAGACATGTTTTTTATAATCCTTGGGAATGGAACAGTTTTGAATAGAACTTGAATCATGTCACTGCATTCATCTCGAACTGTCTTTATACAGAAACATATTTTATGCATTCACCGGGTGTTCACATTCAACCGATTTTTGAATAGCTTTAATTTCCTTTCGATAGATTGTAACATCTATTTATATTTTATATCGTTAAAACCCTTTTTCTAATCTGTTAAGTCTGCCTCTCTATTACAGTTCCTGCAAAGTGTATTCACTATAGACACTTTGGTGAAGCCTCTTCCTCCTGCAATGGCATTCAACGTCTCTCGCAACTTGAGTTTCTTCACCCGCATTTTCACTCAGTTCTTTGGTTAGTCTTATATTTCGAATACCATATGTTAATTGAACAGATTAAATAGTCAAATGTTTTCTTGTCGTATGGTAAAAGTTGTGATGGCATTCTCAGTGTCGTATGATACCCTTGATTTATTGTACTGGTATGTGGTTTTAACGCTTGATATGATTGATGCAGATCCTGAAGGCATTGCAAATGCACAGAAGTCTCTGGGGTTGGGGCAGGAAGATAAAGCGCGTCGTGTTCGTTGAGATATGACTATCTTCCAAGCTTGTGAATGAACCCAGCACTGTTAGATTGATTAATATATGTCCTAAAGAGTTGTTTTATATGAATTTTCCTAAGTACAATGAAATTTCCAAGTTCCATTTTAGCACTAGCCTTCCCTGTTTCCATCAATATAAACTACTTTGGTTCAAACCCAAAACTTGGTTCCATATGTGGTGCCCTCAACAGTTTTGAAAGTATAGAACAATCTGATACATCTGTTAACTCTGGGTCAGAGTTCACGCTGCTTGGGTAACCATGAAGCGATTGATAGATAACTAAATGGGCATACATCATTTGTGGCAGTGGGGGCCTGCGTTCGTGCAGCTACATGGTTAATACAAAGAGGATTTAATGTCTTTATAGGCTCATATTAGTATTCATGTTAGGATTCAATAGCGAGACTTATCGCATTGCCTTGTGTGTGTGAATATAACTTCGTAGAAATGATGGTTCACAACAAATTCACTATTTACCACTTACAAGTTGCTTCAGAGATTATCATTCAAAGAATTGTTAAACACTGCACGGGAAATCGGCTTTTTCATACCTCTAAAAATGTGAAATTTATACTTAAACTATATTGTTGTACTAGAACATGTCTCAATAGTGAAACATTTGAAGTTCATACTTGCACTTCATGTTTTGTGCAAAATCATGCATACGCCCTAAATTTTGACTACGTAGAATCCACGTGTGCACCTACATAGATTTGTTTAAATCGAGATTTGATATTTTTATGTTTTTATTTTGGTTTAGACATAAAATATTAAACGTCGATGTAAGTTGTTTGTGTTTAAACACGCTTATATTTGATACAATGATTGGTATCTTATTATATAAAGTATGGTTTTCAAAGTTAATAACTCATAGGATCGTGACACGTGACAAATCTATCGATCTTAGATTTTGACATGTGTAAATCAAAAATTTCCTTTTTAAAATAGAAAAAATAAAATAATTGTAAGTAATTATATATTTAAATAATTTTAAAAATGTAAAAGATAATTATAAAGATAATTGTAAATAATTAAGATTTCTATAAAAAAATTAAAAAATTGTCCAAAGATAATAATAAGAAAATTATACGTTTTTATATTTAAAAATATATATTTTAATTAAACAAGAAAAAAATCAGGCAAGTTTATTAAAAAGGAAACATATGTTATTATATAACTAATATGATATATTTTGGTTTCTCAAAATTAGTAATTAATAGTATCATGAACCGTTATCAGTCAAATTTTTTATCATGTGTCATGATTTAATTTACAATTTTCTATTATTTATCTCAATTTCCTTTCCAATTAGAAATATGTGAAGAATTATTTAAAATAATCCTCATATTATTTATTTGAGTTGATTTTTTCAATTAAAATATGAGAGATTATTTTTTTTTCCTTTTTGTAATATTTTTTACTTAACTGTGTTTTTTGTTTGTCTTCAATTATGATTGTAGTATTGTGAGATTTCCATGATTTAAATTACAGTTTTACATTATTTATAGAAATTTATTTTCTAAATAGAAATATGTGAAGACTTTAAGTAAAGTTTTATATTGTTTATTTGAAATTCTTGAATATGTAAGAACCATATATGCTTCTTTTTTGTTTTTGATATTTTGAATTTAATTATACTACTTCAAAATTATTTATTTAAATTTCTATGTTCATATTTAAATTATATAAGATTCATATATCATCGTGCTTATAATTTTTTGAATTTATCAATTTTTATTGATTGATCATAAAGTCATTGAAATCAAGTATACAGGAATCGATCCCGCAACGTTAGCTTGGAAGGCTATGGGATTTAGTCGATTTATCATCTTTATATTTTTAACGTGTTTAGTTCAAAACCATTTGGTTTCATTCACCAACTTTATGATGAATATTTTTAATTTTAGTTCTTCATATAAGTATGTTATGAGTTATTGTTATGTGATATATCTTTCATTCAAAATAATTTTGAATTAATAATTTTAGTGGTTAAAGAAACAATGCAACAGTGAAAAAAGTAAATATTTTTTTACTTTTGAAAGAAAAATTTCACTTACAACGTTGTTAATTAGTTTTTTTTGTTAAATTTAATTTTCATTTTTAAAAAATTAAACCCGTCCGATGGCATCACTTACAACGTTGTTAATTGGTCCTTATCTAGTTATAACTATAAAGTATAAACACTTTTTTTTTTTTTCCATCCAATTAACTTTATTAAGAGACAGAATCGGCATCATTGTTTACAAGGGAATTGAGAAAACTAGGACAACAATGATATAAATAATAATTATTTGGAATTTGGACTGCTTTCCTCGCCAAGAGATCTGCACATCCATTTTGCTCTCGATGTCGAAAAGTGAACTTTATTGAGTTAAACATGTTCCTCCATTGCCAAATTTCTTCCATGTAGTGCTTTAGACGTAGATTAATTCCTCCCTCATTGATTAGATTGACAATGTTGGCATTGTCTCCTTCGAATTCTACATGTCTATATCCTAAAGCCCATGATGCCTGGATCGCCCATATTAATGCTGAACATTCGGCCTCTTCAATTGTTTGCCTCCCTTGGAATTTTCCCATACCGCAGTCTAGACATGTGCCATTCGAATCCCTGATTATCCAACCTAATCCAGATGATTGGTTGCCTTCATAATGTGATGCGTCAAAGTTACACTTCACGTATCCCCTCTCCGGCTTACACCATTTACTCGATCTTGAGCTACGTACTCCTTGTAGCTTTCCGTCATGTTGAGGTCCATGAGTCCTATCTTGACAGTCCAGCCATTCCTTTGTATCTATAAGCGCTTGGCCGACAATGTCCTCGCCTTTGGTGACTTTGTGGTTAAAAATCAAGTCGTTCCTTGTCTTCCAGATTCTCCACAATAACCAGAATGGAAGATAGCGGCTTACTTTGTCAATGTGTTTGTTATCGTGGAGGTCAAGTAAGAATCTGATTTTTTCTTCAAATGGTTTATCCCTGTCCCATAGATCATGCGTTGAGATACCAGCAGCTCTCCATATTGGTCTAATGGAGGGGCAAGAAAATAGCGTGTGGTCGTTTGTTTCCAGCTCATTACAACATCTTGAACAATAGGGATTTACATTCATGTTCCGCCGTCGTAGATTTTCGGCAATGCCAATGGCTTTTGAAGCATATCGCCAAAGAAAATGCTTAAGCTTTGGAACAATATTCAAATTCCATATTTTTGTTGCGATATCCGGGTGCAATGCCAACGGTGCTTTGGGTTCATCATCCTCAATGCTCAAATTCATCGCTCTCCAATATCCCGATTTCACCGAGTATTGACCATTCTTTGTATAACACCACAGATAGGAGTCCGGCGAATCTTTGTATGGAATAAAAATTTTCCGGATTAGATGATGGTCTTCAGGGTTAATCAAGTGAAGGAGCTTAAATTCATCCCATTGATGGTTCGTCTTATCAATTAGCTCTTCAACCTTGGTGTTTGGATCCGTTGATGTTAAAAGTCTTGGAGGACGTGGTGGGTTTGTAGGAAGCCATGCATCGTTCAGCTGAGTGGTTTTTCCATTGCCGACATTTCTTTGGATCCCACTTTCAAGTAATTCTCGACCAAATCTTAGTGAGTTCCACCCGTAGGAGGGCTGTGCTCCTCGAGTCGCCGTGAAGAATGTACCTTCTTTAAAGTATCTTGCCTTGAGGAGTCTGTAAATAAGGGAGTCTGGTCTTTGTATTATTTTCCAAGCTTGGTTGGCCAGCAAAGCTTTGTTAAAGAGGTGTAAATCACGGAATCCTAGACCTCCCACCTTTTTTGATGTGACAAGTTTTCTCCATGCTATCCAAGAGATTTTCTTTTTTTCTTGTGTTGATCCCCACCAAAATCTTGCAATCAAGCTATCCATTTCCGAACATAGTTCCTTTGGCAATTGGAAGCAGTTCATTGAGTACACGGGCATTGCATAGGCCACGGCTTTGATTAGTGTTTCTTTCCCCGCTGCGGATAAGAATTTAGTTTGCCAGCCTTCAATACGACTCCTAAGTTGCTCATGTATATATTGTAGCATTTCTTTCTTTTTTCCGGCAAATTGTTCTGGGAGTCCCAAATATTTCCCTCCACCGCCTATATTTGGTATTTGCAATGTACTCATTATACTCTCTCTTGTATGCTGATATACTCTTGACCCAAAAGTGATTGATGATTTATCAAAATTGATAATCTGACCGGATGCCTCCCCATATTCTTTAAAAATCCTTAGTAGATTGGAGCTATTTTTGTAGTCCGCTTTTAAGAAGAAGAGCGAGTCATCAGCAAAATAAAGTATAAACACTAACGATGGATTGGTAACTAAAAAAGCGTTTATTATTGAAAAAGATAAAACAATCCAATTCGTGTTGTACACAAACTAATTGAATGACATTTTATGTTGATACTAATTGCAAATAGAGTACAATACATTATTAGAGAATAAAACTTGACATATTTAATGAATGAAAATTTGGGAAAGACAATTAATTTACAACAAATGATGATATTATTTTGCCAAAATTAGAAGAAACGCGCATAGTCAAATATATCACATTATAATGGTTAGTAGTAATTGCCAAATAATCACTCTTATTTATCTACAAATAAATAAGTCAAACTTTCGATATTTATTGGACTTTGCTATCTTACCTAAAATCAGTGATATAATAATTTGGTAATGTTTTAAGCCATGGCTATAAAACTACAGCTACTTTCATCATTGTAGACATCCTTCAGATTTACTCATTTTCATTTCTTTTGTGATAGAAATTGTTTTTCATTTTTGATCGATCGAGGTATTACATGATCTCGGTTTACATACAAATTATTTATAACCGTTATAGTAAAAAAGTGCTCCCATGTATATTATCGGTTTTACGAGCGTAATGTTTCATGTTCTTGTCTATGATCTATAATATAATGTGTGTAGAATTATTTATTTATATTGAAGACATTTTTTTCTTTTTGTTAATTTATCAAATTTGCATACATTTAAAATTGTGCTGATGATTTTATACTTATACAATTTTTTTACTCATTGGATAAGGAAGAAAATAAAACAAAGAAGAATGGCTTCCAACCGTTGTGCTGTTTGCAAGATCTTGAATGAAACTTGTGCTCAAGGGTGCATCTCGGCACCACATTTTCCATCGAACGATACAAGTTTTGAAGATGTCAGTCGAGTCTTTGGAGCCATGAACGTCCGCAAGATCCTCGTTGATCTTAACACCCCTGAACAACGTCAGATTGCTGCCAACTGCTTGCGCTATGAAGCTGAGGCTCGTCGACGTGACCCCATTTCCGGTTGCCATGGCATGATCCTACACCACAAGAGTATTCTCAATAATATTGAACAAGAGATTGAGTCTACAAAGAATGAGCTTGAACCCTACGTGGGATCCGATCGAATGCCAAAATTTTTTGATCTTCCTATGCCAGAAGATTTCCTCACTACATCAGCCTCTTTAGATTTTTTTGTTGAAAAAATAAAGAGTCTAAATGCAGTTCAAAAGAATCAACTTATGCAACTCCCAACAGCTGATGCACAAATGATAATGGGTAAAATATTTTGGAATGGGGAAGATCATAAGAAGGATGAGGATGGTCATGGTCCCGAAGCTGATGGCGCATCAACATCTGCTTGTCAGTGATACTCAAGAGATACTTCTATTACCTGAAAACCAAAGCCAACAATAATTTTAATTAAATATCTTTCGTCTGTTTGTGTCGTTTTCCTTTATTTATGCCATTTTCCTTTAAAACCAATAAATTTGTGTCGTTTTCCCTATTTTTTACTATTTTGTCATAAATCTATGTAGTTTTTTTTAATGAACATCTATGTTTTTTTAATATATTCTCCTATGATGTTTCTTTTTACTTGGATTACACAATAACCAAATATATTGGTAAAGATCTTTTAAATTGATCCATACCTAGAACTGCTTTAAAGATCATATGAATAAGTAATTGTTTTAAAGAAAAACATATGAATAAGATCTTGAATGGGTAAGGTTGGATTTGTATAGATAATTTTATTACAAATACATATATATGATCTTTGATATTGGTATCATGTATAAAGGCTATAGAGCAGAGATGCACAAGCTAGTATTTCTTAATTTGTTCGCCAATAATTAAAATAAACCTACTCTATCGTGGGTAAACATATGAACTAATTGTATATATTTATATCACAAATACAGAGATATGATGTATAATATTGATATCCTCTATAGAGTTTATCGAGTAAAAATGTCAATACAAACTAGTATTTTCTGATTAGTTCGCCATTCAATGAGTTCAGTCTATTTTATCGTGGTTGTCATATTAATTAATATATATTAAATATAAATTATTCTAAATTAAAGTTTAGATAAAACAAAATTTAATAATTTAAAATAAGCATTTAACAAAATCTTCTTTCATGAAAATCCCTAATTAACTTCCACATTTTATTTTCAACACCAAACCAACCTTTAAATCTTAGTTGCCATTCTCTTTAACCTCTTTTGGGTATGAAAAAAGTTATGTGGTATTTAGAACTTATAATTTGGAGAACAAATTTTCTGTCCTTGTAAGTACGTAATATAGTGATTTTCCAAGATAAGTTTTTAAAAGCTAAAATCTAAGAGCCCAGAAACATGCTGTCTTTGTCTAGGATAATGTTGAGTTCGCTGATGCCAATTTTGCGCAGGTTGAGCTTGGTTATAAATCCAATATTTATCTTGGGATGTATCTAAAAAAATTTTGTCAAATGCCAGTTCAATTTTTATAGCGGTACAAAGGAATAATTGGTGATTAGTCATATCTTATGTTTTACTATACACGTAAGAACCCGTGCCATGCCCGGGTAAATCTTATGCTGTTTAATTTTATACAATTTATAAATTAAACTTAAATTTTTTTTATTGAATCCTAAGAAGTCAAAACTAAATTTTGTAAATGCGTTAAAATATTTTAAATTAAAATATTGATATATAAATAGCATGCAATAATACAACCTTTTAGCCCATAAATTTACTTACAAATTAATCTTCAAATATTTTAATGATTTAAATATACAAATAAAATTGCATTTACGTCATTCATAAATTTAGACTTATAGATTTGCGGTTTCAATTTAATTTTTTTGTAATACAGACAAAAATTGTTGATGTTAAATGCAAATACTATATGTTTATGTTGTTTAATTTGCAATTGAAAAACACAATACATTTAATATAAAAAAAATCTATATATAAAAGTTTTCTTATTTAGAAATTTGAGATATTCAATTTCAGCAAAATGGATAGTAGAATTAAATAAATAAAAAATAAAAAAATAAGGATAATTATGGGCTTGACACCTAAGCACCGAAAACTATCCTTTAATATATAGAGGATATGAGTTCAGAGTTTGCTATCTTTTAATGGGTCATTCTTAGGGGCAAACATCTAGCTTATGTTTAACTGTCTACAAGAAAGCAAAGCAGTAAAACTAATTGCTCGATCATAATCTTCCACAATTGCAGATATGGTTGCTCCTATTTTTCCAATATGGGAAAGTTTTGGAATTCTAAAAAATTGAAACTTTACAAGTAATAACAATTATATATCTTAGTTTTTGCCTAAAATATATTTTACGTCCTTGAGTGTTGTTTCAACTGTTACAAAAATAGACTTGTGACTTGTGACACAAACAACTGGAAAGCAACATATTAGACTCTGAGACCTTCACGAGATTGCATGCATGAGACACTTGTGAACATAGCCGCAGCTAAAAAGATGTTTGGTAAGAGAGAGAAAGATAGAGAATTAAAATAGAAACCAACTGTCACAAAATTATCAGCACATGAAACCAATTATAACAATACCGAACCAAACCAACCAACTACATTTCCTCATTATATAACTGTGAACTCCACTCAAACCAATATTCAAACTCATTCTTCTTAAGATCCATTAAAACATTATTTCACTAAATTATAACTTAATGGGCATTCTCCGTTTTGTATTGTTGGTTCTGTTCGGAATCAAAACGGCTGTGTCACAACCACAACAACAGGCACAAGTCCCATGTTTATTCATCTTCGGTGACTCCTTAGTCGATAATGGAAACAACAACAGGTTTAATTTTGCATTTATTTCCTATGTATTAATGTGATTTTTTCTATCTATGTTTTTTTTTTTTGATATAACTGTAAATATCATTAGAAAATGAAAAGCTTAGGGTTTATACAAGATAAGACCTATAGAATTTGAAACCTTGCCAAAAAAGAAAACCTTGCCAAAAAAGAATAAAAACAAGGCATCAATCAAATTTGAAAACACAAGAGTGAGATCATCTAATCCAAAGTTGCATTAAGTTTCCAAAATGCTTCCTTTGTCTTCTAGCCGAGATAATGTTTCTGATCTCTCTATCAATCATCTTGAAAGTGGTGTGGTGAGGTAAAACACTGTTGTTGTGAAGGACATTATTTATATCTATGTGTTACACAAATTCATAGTAATTTGTATTAATATGTGTAGGTTGCTTTCGCTTGCGAGGGCTAATTACCGACCTTATGGCATTGACTTTCCCCAAGGTACAACGGGACGGTTCACCAACGGTCGCACCTACGTTGATGCACTAGGTATTTATCTCCACATTTTATATGTACGGTTGCAGAATTCTAGTAATATATATACCAACGTGTTTAGCAGGGCAGCTCAACGGTAGTAAAATATATTTTAGATACGTTCAATATTTCAATACAAGTCATACTTGTATGTTAAAAAATTTCAAGCCAAGCCATAATTTGGGACCTAAAAACTTTAAGAAAATTATAATTTTGTCGGTCCTCTGTGCAAAATGTACACTTTACATTTTTAAAGGTTTGTTTTTTAAGGTTTAAGTCCCAAAATTGTTTTCAAGAGTTTAACACCTTTTATTTTTTTTTGTAGCTCAAATTCTTGGATTTCGGGCTTACATTGCACCATATTCCAGGATTCGTGGCCAGGCTATACTTAGAGGTGCGAATTTCGCATCTGGTGCAGCTGGCATTAGAGATGAGACCGGTGACAACTTGGTATACAAACTATATTTTTTTTTTTTCATGAATGTAAAATTTTATTCATCAAAAAAATCTTTGTTACATTATATGCATCTTTGATAAGAAAATATGAAATTTGACTTTGAACTAAACCAAATTATTTGTTTTCTATCCATCGTCAAAATTTAAAAGAACCATCCATTCTATTGTAACTTGTAAGCCTAAACCGAATTATACTACCAATGTTTTTGTAGGGTGCACATACTTCTATGAACCAGCAGGTAGAGCTGTACACGAGCGCGGTTCAACAGATGCTTCGATACTTCAGAGGAGACACAAATGAGCTGCAAAGATACTTAAGCCGTTGTATCTTTTATTCGGGAATGGGAAGTAACGATTATCTCAACAATTACTTCATGCCTGACTTCTACTCAACCAGTACCAATTTCAATGACAAAACCTTTGCAGAGTCTCTCATAAAGAACTACACGCAACAGCTCACGGTAAGGGTTGACCAATAATGCATAATCTATCTCAATATATTCTACTTATCTTGATTCTTTTTATTTTTCTTAGCGGTTGTACCAATTTGGAGCTCGGAAAGTGATTGTGACTGGAGTGGGACAGATCGGTTGCATACCTTACCAGCTCGCCCGCTACAATAACCGTAACAATAGTACTGGCAGATGCAACGACAAGATTAACAACGCAATTGTGGTGTTCAACTCTCAAGTCAAGAAACTAGTGGACCGTTTCAACAAAGGTCAGTTGAAGGGAGCAAAGTTCGTTTACCTTGATTCCTACAAGAGTACCTATGATCTAGCTGTCAATGGAGCTACTTACGGTGAGTTAGTCTTATGATTTCAAAATATATATTAGTCTAATGATTTCATAAAATGTCTTATTATTGTTTATATTGATCCGACAGGATTTGAGGTTGTGGACAAAGGTTGTTGTGGGGTGGGGAGGAACAATGGTCAGATCACGTGTCTGCCGCTGCAGACCCCGTGCCCTGACCGAACCAAGTATCTCTTTTGGGATGCGTTTCATCCGACAGAGACTGCTAACATATTGCTGGCGAAATCTAATTTTTACTCCCGAGCTTACACTTACCCCATCAACATTCAAGAACTAGCCAATATTTGAAGAAATAAGATCTTGATCTTCCATATGAGTGCATTTAAGGCTTTTTATAAAGTGTTTCTCTTCCTATGTATTAACTAATGTTTCTTTGAAATAACTAATGTTTCTTTGTTTCTGTATTGTTCCTCTACTTAACTCTCAACTATGAGAGAAACATATGACACAAGTGCTCACTTTGATACCAAACCTGACAAAAGCCAAAGTTAATAGAATTGATTCTATGAATACTCGGACCACGACGAAGCTCTTCAAGTGTTTGTTGATTCAAAGCCTTTTTTGTATTAATGTAAAATTTATTCACCAAACATATGTTTGTACAATGAATGTGACCTTGAGAGTTGAAAGTTTGAGACTGAAAAAGGAACCGTACCTATAAGCTAAAACAGAGTAAGAGGTCTAATGGGATACGAGTGCTAAACCAGTAGCATAGCCCCTCATCGTACCCAGTTTTTCCCGAACTTTGAATGGAGCTGAAGCGGTTAATTCAAAGTCGAAAAACTGAAACAGGGGATTTGAGAAAAGAACTCTTTTCTCGACTCTTTATTGAATCTCAAACAAAATGTGTCTCTCCTTAGAAAGCTCATATGCACTTATCTATAGTGAAAACAAGAAGCATATGAGCTTTGTAATTACTTAGACTCACCAAATCAATTAAGGACAATAAATAGATGGAACTGAAAACATAATCTCACAAAGGATCATGATGTTCAAGACACATGGAAGCAGAATCTGAAGGAACCCAATGAAACAAAGAAACAAGAGGATAAGAAAAACATACCAACATGCATCCAAGAGGGAGAATCAGGCAATGGGCAGAAAAAGAAGCATCTACTTCTGATGGTAGAGTGCCTGAAACCAAAGTTTCAGGATCAACAAAGTTCTGTTCCAAAAGAAAGGCTGCATATATTGTAAACAAGGTTTTTTTGGGTTAAATATAGTTTTACATTCATTCAAAAAAAAAAAAAAAAAAAGAAAGGATTGAGAAAAAGAGAAATGTTGTCACTGTCATGAGAGAAACTGAGCTTTTTATTCGAAAAATTGATGACAGGTCATGAAACTGAGAAGCTCAAGTTTATGATGGAATCTGAGGGCCAAAGAGATTCAACAAGTGAGAATATAGAAACTGTGGTTAAGGAGGACAAAGCAATGGCTCAAGAAAATGAGAAGCACAAGGCGATGTTCAAAGAAAACATCGGGAAGAGAAAAGAAAGCCTACATGAGAGCTGGTAAGCAGGGGGCGGAGACGTGAAGAAATTGCAAGAGAATCTGAAAATAAATGAGGGAAAGGCACATGAGACAGTGAGAGTGAAGGCAGAGTTGCCTTTGAAACGAATGGCAAACAAGGATTTCAGCAAGAAGGAGCTTAGAGACTTTAATTTTACAGGAAGTTCACCTCGTGCGTGAAAAGGAGACGCAATCCTCTAATGTAAACTCATCTCTAGATGTATCTCTAGACGTATAAGTACAAATACATCTAGAGAAGAGAGAGAGGTTGCATTGTATCACAAGTTTAAAACACCAAGTACATGTATCACAAAGCAAAGAGGAGCTTCGTCGAGCTTTCCTTCTCTCTAGTCGTCTTCATTCTTCTTCAGAGACCGAAAAAAGAAACCACAAAATTAATGAGACCAGGAAGTGATTTGTTACCATCATGAGCATATTTTACGTACATGGGTGAGAGTGTGCACTGCTGGAACATATTGGCAACATATAGGCAGCTTTGATATTCCATCTATCCACGTCACAACCACAAAGTTTACCATGAAACAAGAAAAAAAGAATCAAGAGCATATTTTACTTACAATGGTGAAAGTAAAGCCCGGTGGTGTTGCATAGATGGGTACGATGTTCGACACGTTGTTTATGCTCGGCATTTGTCGGAAACACACTGCCAAATGTGATATTCTCGTCAGGACCCTTAAGGTTCTTGGCCTTGTCTACTGCGTCTTGTCCCCGAATACTAACACGAGCAAAGCTATAAAATCCAACAAAGACAAATCTTTTAGTAAGCAATATAGATTTAATAACTTGAGAGTTGGGGAAATTGGAGGAAGAAGCCACTAACCATATGCCGCTATCACTTTTGCCGTCTCCACAAACCATAACATGTCTGACCTCTCCGCATGAAGAGAAATGTTCACACAGCTTGATCTTGACATCAAGCTGAGGAGCAGAAGCATCAATTCCGAAGACAATCATCCTAACAATGCAGGAGACAATAATATCAATATGACAACAACACTTCTTACATCTTTAAAAAAATAATATCAACTTACTGGCGAGCTTCTTCCACCTCCTCCTCATTAGACATGTCAATTAGGGCTAAAGCCCGTGGGCTGGCCCGGCCCAGCCCTAAAAAACAGCGGGCTCGGACTTAAAAATATATGTCCAGATAAAAATCCGGCCTTTCGGGCTAAGCCTGTTGGGCTAAATAGTTTTTAGGGCTTAGCCCGGCCGGGCTCGGGCCGGCCCGAAAAGCCCTTAAAAAGAGATTTTAACTTTTTTTTTTGTTAATATTATTGTTTAATTAAGAGATTTGTTTTTAAAAAAATTAATAGAGTTAAAAACCCTAAACCTAGTTTTCTAATTGTGTCTTACTATAAGTGTTCTGATTTTATATTTTATTTAGTGTGGGTTTAAACAATTTATTTGGATTATTTATTTGATTTTAAATTTTTTTAAAACTAAATTGGCTTTAGTTGGTTATTTAAGTTTTGTTTGACTCGTTTTATACATAGATTTTTTTTTTTAAGAAATATTATAAATTAGAAGGGTTTATTTTTCTCGAAAGAAAAGCCCAAAAAAGCCCGTAAAAGCCCTGTAGCCCGGTTAGGGCCGGACCGGGCTTCAAAATCTAGACTCGGAATTTTTACGGGCCGGGCCGGGCCGGGCTCAAATATATGCGGGTTTTGAGGGCTTCGGGCCGGGCTAGCCTGATTGACATGCCTACTCCTCATCATCATCACAATCATCATCATCCTAATGATGCTCATCTACCTCATCATCATCACTTACATAATCTGAGTAATTTCCAAGCGCAACTACTATTTTCCTCCCTCCCAAGTAACTTCCACTAAGTTCCAAGGCCTTGTCTTCGGCACTTTCTTCATCAAAAAAGACTGCGGTAGAACTGTAAAACATTTACTAGTTAGCAATTTAACTTGAGGAAGAAGCCACCATATATACAAACCTCTCTAGATGGGCTGAGATCAAACCAAGTAGATATAGCATACTCCGAACTCATGTATAGTAAATCATAGATATGAGTAGAAGTTAAGAAACATATGACTAATCACCAATTACTCTACTTCTTTGTACATCTATAAAAATTGAACTACCGTTTCACAAAATTTCTTTAGTTCCATCCCAAGATCAATATTGGATTTATAACCGAGCTCAACTTGAAAATTGGCATCAGTGAACTCAACATTATCCTAGACAAAGAGATAGGCTCTTAGTTTTTGGCTTTAAAAATTGTCTTGTAAAATCACAATATTGTACTTACAAGAACAGAAATATTGTTCTCCAATTTATAAGTTCTAAATACCACATAACTTTTCTCATACCCAAAAGAGGTTAAAGAGAATGGCAACTTGGATTTAAAGGTTGGTTTGGTGTTGAAAATAAAATGTGGAAGTCAATTCGTGATTTTCATGAAAGAAGATTTCCTTAAATGCTTATTTTAAATTATTAATTTGTGTTTTATCTATATTTTAATTTAGAATAATTTATATTTAATATATATTAATTAATCAGACAACCACGATGAAATAGACTGAACTCATTGAATGGCGAACTAATCAGAAAATATTAGTTTGTATTGATATTTTTACTCGATAAACTCTATAGAGGATATCGATATTGTACATCACATCTCTGTATTTATGATATAAATATATACAATTAGTTTATATGTTTATCCACGATAGAGTAGATTTACCTCAATCATTAGCGTACAGTAGATTTAGCTCAATCATTGGCGTACAAATTAAGAAATACTAGCATGTACATTTCAACTCTATAACCTTTATACATGATATAGATATCAAATCCAACCTTACCCATTTAAAATCTTATTCATATGTTTTTCTTTAAAATAATTATTTTTTTTTTCATATAATCTAGCAAAATTCTAGGTTTTGATCGATTTAAAAGATCTTTACCCGTATTTTTGGTTATTGTCTAATCCAAGTAAAAGGAAACATCATAGGAGAATAGATCAAACAACATAGATGTTTATTAAACGAAACTACATAGATTTATGACGAACTGGAAATAAATAAAGGAAAACGACACAAAATTATTACGGAACTGGAGTTTAAAGGAAAAACAGACGAAAGACATTTAATTAAAATTATTATTGGTTTTGGTTTTCAGGTAATAGAAGTATCTCTTGAGTATCACTGACCAGCCGATGTTGATGCGCCATCAGCTCCGGGACCATGACCATCATCCATCTTTTGATCTTCCCCCTTCCAAAATATTTTACCCATTATCATTTGCGCATCAGCAGCTGGGAGTTGCATAAGTTGATTCTTTTGAACTGCATTTAAACTCTTTATTTTTTCAACGAAGAAATCTAAAGAGGCTGATGTAGTGAGGAAATCTTCTGGCATAGGAAGATCAAAAAATTTTGGCACTCGATCAGGTCCCACGTAGGATTCAAGCTCATTCTTTGTAGACTCAATATCTTGTTCAATATTATTGAGAATACTCTTGTGGTGTAGGATTATGCCATGACAACTAGAAATGGGATCACGTCTACGAGCCTCAGCCGCATAGCGCAAGCAGTTGGCAGCAATCTGACGTTGTTCAGGGGTATTAAGATCAGCAAGGATCTTGCGAATGTTCACGGCTCCAAAGACTTTACTGACATCTTCGAAACTCGTATCATTCGATGGAAAATATGGTGCGGAGATGCATCCTTGAGCACAAGTTTCTTTCAAGATCTTGCAAACAGCACAATGGCTAGAAGTCATTCTTCTTTGTTTTCTTTTCTCCCTTAGCCCCTAAATAAAAAATTTGTATGAGAATATAATCATCATCACAATTTAAAATATATGCACATTTGATATATATTAACAAAATGAAAAAAAATTCTTCAATATAAATAAATAAATCTACACAATTAAATTATAGATCATAGAGAAGACCACAAAACATTACGCTCGTAAAACCAATAATATACATGTGAGTACTTTTATCACTATAATGGTTATAAATAATTTGTAGATATTCCGAGATCACGTAATACCTCGATCGAAAATGTAAAAAAGTTTCTATCACAAAAGAGATGAAATTGTAGTAAATGTGAAGGATGTCTATAATGATGAAAGTAGTAGTCTTTTATAGCCATGCCTTAAAACATTACCAAATTATTATATAACTGATTTTAGGTAAGATAACAAAGTCTAATAAATATCGAAGGTTTGACTTATTTATTTGTTGAAAATTTATGAGAGTAATTATTTGGCAATTACTACTAACTATTATAATGTTATATATTTGACTATGCGCGTTACTTCAATTTTTGGCAAAATAATAGCATCATTTGTTTGAATTAATTGCTTTTCCTAAATTGCCATGCATTAAATATGTCAAGTTTTATTCTCTAATAATGTATTGTACTCTATTTAAAATTAGGGCTTGACTAGATTAAATGCAGCGTTTGCGGGGTCGGTTGTGGAGTTTACGGAAGCGGATAGTTGCGGTTTCAAGTTTTATTTAGTGTTTTAACCGACTAGTTTAGCAGTTAAAAATAGATGCATTTGTGAGAGATTTACAATTGGTTGATCAGCGGGTACGATATCGGTTAAACCAAAGTTTAACAAAATAAATTTAATATTTGATTAATAAAAACTATAAAAAACCAAAAACTATAATTATGAAAAAGTATAAAATTTTTAAACATGATTAATGATTAAAAGCCATAAATAATTATTTAAATAAATTTTATATTGAAAACAAAATTAATTATTAATATTGGAAAATTAAAGTTAGATAATTATTAGTTTTTAGAATTAACGTGAATATATATATAACTTGATAATATATATTTTAATTTATTCATATTTTTTTTTAGTTTCTTTTCTTTTTCAAACCAACCACAACCGCCCGCAACCGCAAACGCTTGGGAGAAAGAGCTTTTGAAATTCAGCGATTTCGAGCGGTTCGAAGCGGTATGGAGCAGTTTCTATGATTGGTACTAACCGCAACCGACCGCTAACAACTGCTAACAACCACAACCGACCGCTAACAACTGCTAAGCGGGTGCTATCGGGACAACCAATCAAGCCCTTAGTATCAACAGAAAATGTTATTCAGTTATTTTGTCTATAACACGCATATTAGATTGTTTATCTTTTTCAATAATGAATAATTTTAGTTACCAATTCATCGTTAATGTTTATAGTTATAATATCATTGTATTAATAGAAGCATATTTAAACACAAATCAACATACATCGAGATTTAATATTTTATGTCTAGAACAAAATAAAAACACAAAGTATCAAATCTCGATTTATCAGGAATTTAAACTTTTTCATTAACCAAACTCGTATAAAACAAATACACGTAGGTGCATAAGTGGATTAATTCTACGTAGTCGAGATTTACGGCATATGTATGATTTTGCACAAAACATGAAGTGCAAGTATGAAAATCAAATGTTTCACTACTTGAGGTATGTTCTATTACAACGATATAGTTAGGTATAAATTATATATTTTTAGAGGTATAAAAATGCCGATTTCCCATACAAAGTGTTTAACAACTCTTTGAATGATAATCTCTGAAGCAACTTGGTAAATGGTGAAACTTGTTGTGAACCATCATTCCTATAAAGTTATATTCACACACACAAGGCATTGCGATAAGTCTTACTATAGAATCCCAACATGATTACTAACATGAGTCTAAAATGACATTAAATCCTCTTTGTATTGACCATATAGTTGCAGGTTAACTAAAATTGCATTATAGGTTTAAACATTACGAAAAAGGAATGTTAGAACTATTAGGAATGTGGCCTAACTTAACCCAAAAGCTAGCTCTAAAGTTAAGGGTTGCCACATCCTTTATATATTACCCAAAGATCTTAATCCTAAGCAATGTGGGACATTCTAATAGGCCTCCTCGAGATGTGGGTGGGAAACGGTCCAATGGGAAACAGCCCAAGCCCAACATCTCGGAAATACAACAAGACATACCACTTATATGGGCCACATAGGTGGGAAACCATTTTTTGTGGGAATTTGCTTGTTGGGCCAACCTGGGGCTCTGATACCATATTAGGAATGTGGCCTAACTTAACCCAATAGCTAGCTCTAGAGTTAAGGGTTGCCACATCCTTTATATATTACCCAAAGATCTTAATCCCAAGCAATGTGGGACATTCTAATAAGAACTAGAAAGATTGAGAAGTAGCCACTCAAACGCAGGCCCCCACTACCACAAATGATGACGTATGCCCATTTGGTTATCTATCAATCGCTCCATGGTACCCTAACAGCGTGAACTGTCACCCGGAGTTAACAGATGAATCAGATGGTTACAAACTTTAAACTGTTGAGGCATCGCATATGGAACCATGTTTGGGTTTGAATCAAATTAGTTTATATTGATGGAAACAGGGAAGCCTAGTGCTAAAATGGAACTTGAAAATTTCATTGTACTTAGGAAAATTCATACAAAACATCTCATTGAGGACATATTATAATCAATCTAACAATGCTGGGTCCATTCACATGAGGATGATGATGATGATGAACAATGTTAAACACTTTTAAATTGCTAGAAAACCGACTCCAGAAACAGAATTGTAAATACAATTTGTTTAAATTATGTTTAATCAAAGTGAGCACTTGTGTCGTTGACATTTTTTGGGATCAAACCAATGTTAACTATTGTTCCTCTTACTTACTCTCCACTCTAAGATAAAGTGCTCACTTTGACACAATTCTGTTTCTGGAGTCAGTTTTCTAGCTCCTATATGAGTTGTTCTTTTCTTTTCCTAGTTTAAGCCTTATTTGGATAACTTTTCTTGTTAATTAACAAGATTATATTCCGAAGAAGAAAGTAACAATAGCTTTCTTCTTTTCTCTACTATTTTCTGACTTTTAGCCATTTTATTGAGAATTCAACAAACTTAAGAAGATATTCATCATGAAAATTAAAATTTGATCAGCATACCTAATATTCATATGGTAAGATAAGATGATGATATAGTTGTAGCTTTAAAAAAAAAAAAAAAAAGATAAGATGATGATTGATTTCAATGTGAATGCACTAGACCAAAATTCTCATATTTAATATATTATTTCTCTTTTACCTTTACAACTGCTAGCTGAAAGAAGAAAGAGACCATGCTGATTTGAAAATTTCTGTGTATTTTTCATTTATTATATGGACTTTGATATATGTAAACACATCAAGACTTTCCCTACTACTTTCCTTAAAGACATAAAGAAAACAAATTGTATAATGAACTTATGAAGTTTCCTTAACTGGCAGGATTGACTTCCCAATACTCTGATACCAAAACCTAATAAGAGCCAAATTTAAGAGAAAGCTCCAATCAATTCTATGAATACTCGGACTACGATGAAGCTCTTGAAATGTTTTTTTAATTCCAAGTCGAAAACCGAAGCATAGGATTTGAGAAAAAAACTCTTTTTCGACTCTTTATGATTAAATCTCAAACAAAATGTGTCTCCTTACAAAGCTCATATGCACTTATCTATTGTGCAAACAAGTAGCATATGAGCTTTGTAAGTAGACTCACCAAATCAATTAAGGGAAATAACATAGATGGATTTCAAAACATAAGCAAAAGCAGAAAGCTCAAAAGCATGTTTATATAAAAGATGTTGAGCAATGATTGATTATAGAATGCAGCATTCTTGAAGGCTTTCTTCATGCGTACGTCTTTTCAGCTCATCCAAGTTATTCTTCATATCATGTTTTTCATTCTCACGAGCTTCTTCTCTTTTATCAAAGAGCTTCTCTTGCGCTTCCACAACTATTTTAATGTTTTTCACCATATGAGAAAAAGAAACAAGTTTCGTTAATTAAAGCGTAACCCCTTAGGACTTGTGAGTTGTGAGCAGCATATTGGATACTAACAGATCTAATACTCATATTTGTTTCTAAATCTACATCTTAGGCAACTTCTGAACTCGAGTACAGAAATAGTTAAACCATAAAAATTGATAGATGCAAAGTTATAACAACAAAAAAGAAAAAAAAATGGCGAGAAAAGGACAAACTTGATTTTAAAGAGGAAAGTCTTTCTGGTGCTCGTCAATTTTTGGCAGATGCTAGATGACTGAAGTAGTTAATCGACGAAGCTAGTTTTCATGCTTAAATAGAACTTCTGAAATTCATTTTTTTAAAATATAATTAAATCTTAGGGAAAATTAGATTGAATACCACTTTTCAGAGAAAGTTTAGGCCCAGTACCACATTTGGGAAAAGCTTTTGAAATGTACCACATTTCAATGCCACATGCTTAAAGCCGGACGAAATTGCCCTTAATGGAGAGAGAAGTGCGTGTCATAGAAAGGGACAACTTGGGACAGGAGGGAACAGTCTGCATTTAATGCTGCACGTTTACAAAATTTCTGCCGTCCTTTTTGTCTCTCTCCGGGCGCATTGGTAACCGTTTTCGTCCCTCTGTCTGGTAAAACGAAATTGTCCCCGAGTAAATCCAGATCTTCGTCTTCGGCTCTCTGGCAGAATAAAATAAAGATCAAGTTGTCTCCGAGTTAATCCAGATATCTGGCTGGTAAAACCACACCATTTGGCGATGGATAATTAAGAGATGTTGTCCCCGAGTAAATCCAGATCTCTGCAGGCTGGTAAAACCATATCATCTGGGATTCATGATAATAGAGCAAGCTGATGAAATCGGAGACAAGATCTAGACGCAACAGAGAATTTTCAACCGGGGACAAGATCTAGAGACAAAACGAAAGCGTTTATTATGAGACAAGATCTGAAGA